GTAGTAGTGGTGGCAGTGGCAGTAGTAGTAGCAGGTGGTGTAGTTGGAGTGGCAGTGGCAGTTGCAGTGGCAGTAGTAGTGGTAGCGGTACCGGTAGCGGCGGTGGTAGTAGTGGGTGGTGGTAGTAGTTTAAGAAGAAGAAGTAGTAGTAGTAGTAGCAGCCAGCGGATCGTTTACCGCCGTGCGTTTCTCAAGATTATCAAGGTTCTTTCGGGAGGGGGGAGCGTAGGGCTTACACCCTCGGCCCCGGAGCCTAAACCCGTTTTATGCTTTCACAATGATTCGAATATATCTCCCAATCAACTCGGATAAATCTTTCAAACGTGACGAAGTTGATCCGATGCACTTATCTGCGACAGACTAAGCTGAAGAGGGTGGTCCGATGCAGATATGATATAACACAGATATTGACAAATCCTTTTCAATCGCTATGAACTCCCCGATGCTTTCACAATGAACCGAACATATCTACCAATCAACTCGGGTGAGCATTTCAAACCTGACGAATTTGATCCGATGCACTTAATGCGATAAGCAAATCTGACGAAGTTGATCCGATGCAGGTATAACACAGATGTTGACGAATCCTCAGCAATCAATATGAATTCCCCATGTTTTCACAATGATTCGTTTATATCTTCGAATCCGTACTGAAATGCAAATACAGGACTCGGAAAAAACGACTGTCTTTTCTTTCACCTCCGCGTTTCAGAAATTCTTCGTCAAGTCTTGAAACCAGAAACAAACAAACACGCACACACACACACACTTTTTTTACTTTGGGGTAAACTGCAAAACCCCAACCGACATCACGAAATCCTCGCTGTGCGTGATGTTTTTGGGGGTTTCAACCACACTCAAAACAAGACCCAAAAAAGGAGACACACCGAATCACAGAAATGCCATGCCTGCCATGGTTTTCACCACTCAGGCTTGAAAATGCACTTCTTTTGAGACCTTGTTTTGAGTTCACAACCGCGCCCCCGCTGCGGCGAAATGCTTACTTGCACAACAATCGCGCGATAGCTTCCGACATGTGCGGTACTAGTACAAGTACAAGTAGAAGCAGAAGTAGTAGTACCAGTAGTAGTAGTAGTCGTAGTAGTAGTAGTAGTAGCAGTAGTAGTAGTAGTAGTAGCAGTAGTAGTACTATTAGTAGTACTAGTAGTAGTACTAGTAGTAGTAGTAGTAGTAGTAGTAGTCGTAGTAGTGGTAAGTAGTAGTGGTTTTGGTGGTAGTAGTAGTAGTAGTAGTAGTCGTAGTACTCGTAGTAGGAGTAGGTGTAGGTGTAGGTGTAGGTGTAGGTGTAGGTGTAGGAGTAGGAGTAGGAGTAGGAGTAGGAGTAGGAGTAGGAGTAGGAGTAGGAGTAGGAGTAGGAGTAGAAGTAGAAGTAGAAGTAGAAGTAGAAGTAGGAAGTAGTTGTTGTCCCTCACTTGGCACGCCATCGAGAAGTAGTAGCGGTAGCAGTAGCAGTAGCAGTAGCAGTGGCAGCAGTACCAGCGGCAGAAGTAGCAGTAGCAGTAGCAGTAGCAGTAGCAGTAGCAGTAGCAGTAGCAGTAGCAGTAGCAGTAGCAGTAGGAATAGTAGTAGTAGTAGTCGTCGTCGTCGTGGTGGTGGTGGTGGTAGTAGTAGTAGTAGTAGTAGTAGTAATCGTAGTAGTAATCGTCGTAGTAGTAGTAGCAGCAGCAGCTGCTGCCGGTGTCGTTGTCGTTGCCGGTGTAATTCTTCTTCACTTTCGTTGTTGTCGTCGGCTAGGACCGGCATTGCGTGTCGTTATGAATTGACAGACGTGCTGGTGGCAAAAGCAAGGCGCTGGCCCCTTGCTTTCGGTTTGGCCTGTGGCGCTGGCGCTATTTCGCTAAGCTGTTTGGGGTTGTTTGGTTTCATGGTTTTTGCTGCTGTTTCTGCTGCCGAATTCGTCACCTTTGGAAAAGTTGTTGGTCGCGCCACCGTGTTATGTTTGAAGGATCCGAGAGGCCGCGGGCAGGCAGCTCAACCTGCAATCACAGCCTGATGCTACAGCCTACCGAGCTTGCAGATGCACGGTCAAAGATATCTCTTCCCAGATGCTTCGGAAGTTTGCACGTGAATTTTTTGTTGTGCAGGAGGCCCAGAAGCATTCCTGGGAAAGTTCTGATGTCGAGACACAGCTTCACTTTTCTGTAGCTTGGTTTCTGACGATGCAATATGCTATGATGAGTGCATGACCTGCGCAGCTGCGAGATCTTTAAATTGTTCGATTCCACGGGATGCTTGCGAGCATGCGGGAGTTGTCAAACCGTCAAGGTGGGCAGCAGGTGCAGAGGAGATTAGCAGGCTTGCAGAACCGGGAATCTGAATGGCCTTTCAATGGCAATTTAAATCCGATTGGCTTTGTTTGCGGCCTTTGCTGTGTGTTCTGAAGCACTGCAGACGGTGGAGGGCCACCGCATTAAGGCGAGAGTGGCGCCAGGTTCCCAAGCAGATTCAGCCTGCTATGGTCCCCCATAGCTGCCATAGCTATCGACCGCCAGTCGACGAAATGATTTGAATCTGCTTGGGAATGGAGCAAGCGAGTTGCTCTGACCGTGCCTAATCCTCAAATGGTTTTCCGTCGCAGCCCGCCGGGCCCGCGGCAGTTGATTTGCCATGCAAGTCATGTATAGAAGTGCACTACATCGAGTTGTGCCATCTTACACTACGCTGCGCCATGCAGAGGTCATGAGGTTCCGTCGCTTTGCTGACATTCAGCATTGCGCAATCCGCAACACTCAGTATCAAAGCTCGGGCTGCTAAACTCGACCGCATGTTTGAAGACTGTGTTCTTGCCGCCTGCGTCCTGACTTGGTGGGCCCTGTCCCTATGATCCTTCAAGACATCAGCCGGCTGTGTCGACACTGGTGCGTGCCGACCGTGTGTTCTAAGCCAGCTACTCGTACACAAATGCTGCATGGCGAAGGTGGACGAACCACTTGTTGGCTCTGTACGTGCATCATATGAGCATCAGCAACTGTACTCCATCACAGGGTGGAGGCAGCCTGCCGTTTAGAGTTTAGAGAAATGCATCGCACGGCTCTTCACGCGTCTGACAGAGGCTGCTATAATTATCATCATATGCCGGACAGGGCCCAACGTTAGGGAGGCGATGCAGCGGCTCGCTTTTCAAGTCCATGGCAGGCCTGGCAGCTTCTGCTTGTAGGCAATTAGGATCCCAAGCTTTCTGGTGATTGAGTCACGCATGGTCTTGATCCAGTTGTCAACATCACCAGTTTAATCGGAAGATGTACGTACTGGACGTACCTGCTGCCGTCAGCCTTTTGCAGTGGAGTGGCCTTTACATCGCTCGCATTCGGGCGGCTAGGCCGTTCCTCGCCATTTGGCTGCGCTCAATGCCTGGAGCAACGCAGACATGTTTGGGCAGGTGCTCGCCACCTGAGCCATGCATGCTGTGCACTTTGCTGGGCCTCCACATCGCTCATGAGCATCATAAGCTACAACAAGGCAGTCCGTGAATGCACAAGGACGGAAAAATGGACAAGTGCTGTGTCGCTTCTGGATGAGCTGAACTGCAGGGGCTTGCAGGCGGACACGATTACTTACAACTCCGCTGGCTCTGTTGCATGCTCGTCTGGTGAAGCCTGGCGAGTGGCCCTGCTAATGCTTCGGTGCGCCACCTCATGCCGGGTACGTCAGGATGTAAAAATCTACAGCAGCTCGGTTACGGCCTGCGGGGTGGCAAAGCTGTGGCAAAGTGCCCTTTGTCTGGCAAGCCAGATCCACGTCGCTGGCCTTCGCCTTGATTCGATTGCCGCCACTTCTGCCATCAATGCTCTGGAACGTAGAGCCAACTGGCAGCAGGCCATCCTTCAACTGCTTGATTCCCGCAGGGCCAACTGGCAACCATCAGCTTTTGCCGGTAATGCTGTCCTCCGCGCAACTTCTAAATGCCAGTGGAACAGAACCATGCAATGTGTCCTAACTACCTTGCAAGCACGTGCTGTTTCGGGAGATGTCATCACGTACAACAGCATGATAGAGGCGGCTGCTGATTGGAAGCAGGCCATCTTACTTCTGCAAGATATTTGTGACCAAGAATTGCGACCAGACGTGGTTACGTGGAATAGCCTCATAACTGTGTGCTCTCGCGTAGTTCAGTGGCAGCGAGCGCTCGCCGTTCTTGACACCTTGAACAATGTCGTCAAAGCAGATCTCGTATCATTCAACAGCACCCTTGCGGCGTGTGGCAGGTCCGGCAAGTTTCAGGAGGCGCTTTCATTGTTGGATCGAATGTCGCAACACGGCATCCAGCCCGACGTGATATCGCGAAGTGCTCTGATGAGAAGCTGCGCAAGGGCGACAGCTTGGCGGATGACGTTGTTTCTGAGCTCAGAGAGACAGGCGAGCATAAATGCCATTGCATTGAACGAAGTTCAGCTGGCCTGTGAAAGAGCGTGTGAATGGCAGCTAGCTCTGCAACAATTCGACGAAGCAGAGCATGACTTCAGCCAGTATGCATGTGTGTGTGTGTGTGTCTGTGTCTGTGTCTGTGTGTGTGTGCGCACATGTCATGAATGAGTCATGACTCTGCTCAATGGTGCATGCCAAGGACTCCCGCGAGAGACGTGTTTCTGCTGATCTGCTGATGTTCAATGCCGTCATCGGCGTGTTGGAAAGCGCAAGCAGGTGGCAGACAGTATTGCGCCTGTTGCGGTGCATGGTGTTAGAGATGTTGCTGCCAGACACTGTAACATACAACGCCGTCGGCAGCGCCTGCGAAAAGTCCACGATGTGGGAATCCACTCTGTGGTGCCTGCGAGCTGGCAGCATCCAGCCAGACATGATTACCTGGACCTCTGCCATTGGAGCATGCAGCACGTCCTGCGCTTCATGTCGCTGGAAGCGAATGTTGACCTTGATCCGGGACGCTGCCACGGGACACCTGCAGCCGAGCCTTCTGATCTGCGAGAAGGTGGTCAGCACTCTGTGGCAGTCTGGAAAGCTTGCGCAGATGCAATTTCACCTGCCCCGAGCTTGCTCAACAAGGCAAGCTTTCGAACTTTTGCGCGGCGAAGCGGTTTCGCATGTTGTGTGTGCCCGCAGAGGCAAAACATGCATGATGAAAAAGCTTAGGTTGGGAACCAGCAGGGATTGCATTGTGGGCTCCTCCGGCATGTCAGTAGAGGGATCCGGAAGCCCACGGCTGTTTCCCTTGCCCCAATACATCTCAATACCCTGTGATGATATGCCAGAGCCTTCACTTTTGGCTGAGAGCACCTGGCGTAGAAGTGGGGCGCACCGCCAGATCCCATGGGTCTCACGCTTGCAGAGCTCAGTGTGGAAGCTTTCGCGCGAGGCGATCACTCAACCGGGCCCGGGCCATTACCCACTGATAAGGCAGCAGCCGCGCTTCTAAGCGGCCTCTTCTCTCCAGTCGCCTTGCAGTGGAAGGCCAAAATCGACAACGGTCTCACGGCCACAGTTTCTGATCCGAAACCACAGCAGAGTCTTGTAGTTGAGGAGTTAGTACAAAGAGCGCTGCAGTTCGTGTGCCATGAGAAGCTCCTAAGGTCAGGGCCGAAGTTTCGCAGGACTTGACCTGTTGGCCTCCGGAGTGGGTGCATCTCACGGTCACCCGTGGTGCAGAGGCCACGGCATCCACAGCGTGGGTATGTTCGCTTTTGCAAAGGTGAGCAAAGGTTGCCATAGTGCACACTCATTGAGTCATAGCGATCCATGGGATGATTGTTCTTACCTTTCCCTATCTTATCCTCACTGACACCCTCGGCAAGTCTCCGATGTGCGAATCGGGCATCGTGTACAGGGTGTCGACGATGATCTGCGACAGCGCTGTCTAGAGATCAAGGTGCCCTCCAGAATCTCGACCTCAACTGCCTTGGCAATCTATGCAGTCAGCATGTTAACAGGTGTCCATATTCATTTGCGAGCATTTAGCAATCTCATGCAGATTTCCGAGGTGTGTTGCCATCACAACTGGAAAAGATCCTGGCAGGTGCAAGCTTCACAGGCAGTTCCGTAACATCCGTGGAGCTTACGGCGATCGCTTTTATATTGTGTGCGTGATAAGGATGGTTTATTGCTGCTCACCAGGTGTGTAATGCATTTCTAGTGCTAGCCATTGCTAGCCTATGAACGCGAACAGACCGTCCAACAGCCTCTGTGTGCTTCAAGTCTGGCAAGGCTCGAACTGCGGGGCAGAGGACTGCAAGCGAATCGTGGTTGACGTTTGCACGGCCTTGTGGGCTATTCGAGCAGAGTACATGGTTTCCTGGTCAGTGACAGGGATAGTAACAGTAGGTTTGCAAGATGTTGGGTTCTCCATCCAGCATATCCCACGTCGAGTTGTGGCTCGAGGGAGCTCCTGCAAGATGGGGGCTCCTTGGCCCGTGGAAAAGTCAGGACTATACTGGAGGTCCGATTTCTCCCTCCTACCCACCCGAGAAATCGATTTCCAAATTGAACGGGTCATGGGATTATCCCCAACGGGGGAGGCAAGATCGAATCCTGAAGTCAAGTGGAATCCAAAAGCTGTCCTCAAAGTGGGGAGCCGCATTCTTGAAGGCAGACTAGATTGAATTTTCTACTAGTAGGAGAGTCTCGTTCGAAGTGGTGGAGTTTCTTGAACGGTTGTTTTCTTCCTGAAGACGCCTTGGCGTTTCGCCTGGCATGCTGCCCGATGTTCTTCTTCCTGCGAGTGAGCTGCGGGGACGTGCGTATCCGAGGATTCGAGCGGAGGCTCTAAAACCTCGCCGGGGCGCCAAGGCACAAACTAGGAAAGAGAAGAACGAGGGGAGAAGAGAAGGGGACCCGGCTAAGTGCCGTGGGTCTTCCGCTTCTCAGCTGCTTTTAATCCTTACACCTCCCAATGCTTCGGGGTTGGGCCAGTGGGGGCTCTCCGACGCCAGCCGCCCGACAAGGTGTGTGTGATGGGCGGTAGGGTGGGATTCAAACGCGACCGGATGTCAGAGTCGTCTCGTTGGCCGACTATTAAGCTGCGACGGGTTGAGTGACTTTGCTGTGGAGGAGGCCTCGACATCAAGCTTGTCGGACGAGAGCCTTGGTTACCAATGTGCCGAGAAGTAAAGCAACGTAAAACCGTTAAACATGGTGACCTTGATGTATCCACATCTTCACATCTGGCTGGACACATACGGTCTGGCAAACGAGAAGATGAATTTGTCATGCTGAGGATGGTAGGACTGACGGCCTTGATTCCGCCGAAACTGAGGACGATGGCAATCATCGATCAGTGTCAGGCACAGCATGGGACATCATGAATTCGTGCGACCATGTACTAGTACGAGAAACTGCCTGGCAGGCTCGTGGCATCTCGCAGCCCATGTCGTTGGCGCAGTGGCATCATGCAGTCTGCGGGCACCATGCTCTTTTCAACCTACGTCGCCTTGTCGCAATGAGCACTGGTTTGAAGCTGCAGTTTGGCCCTGACACATTTCCAGGCTGCCTCCTTTCTGGCGATTCCTCCCTCTTGCAAAACGAGCCATGCTTCTGGCGGCAAGCTCTTTGCGACATTGAGCAACTGACATCAAGGTAAGAAATTTCGTTTCAATCGCTGTGAGGCTGTGAAGCGGAGGCTCTGGCGTCGCTCTGCAAAAACGAAACACACAGAGCACACAAAAACCGAGGCGATTGGCTCGGCATGGGGAGGCCAGCGGCAGCTGGCCCAGGAGCTGCGGTGTGCGAAACTTCAAATGCCCGCAGAAGTGCGCAAAGTCGTGCTCCGAAGCAGGAGTCGCGTCACGGGTGGAATAGCTGACGAGGTGCACCTGAGGTTTCTCGGCACGATGCTAGGGCTCGATCTTGCCGATATCCGTCGTTGGGCCTGATGTTAACATGTTCTGCCCGAGAAACAGAGGGCTGGCTAGACAAGTACTATTACTGAGAATTTTGCAGGGAGGTCGCTTGCTGGAACGAATCGGACTAAGGCATTTGGTCAGCACGGACCCTGCTCTCTGCGGCCGGGTGAGTGTGGCTTCTTCTCTGGAGAGTCTACAGGAGACGCTAAGCTCAAGTCTGACCGTGAACTTCAACACCTCCCCGCCACCGAAAGTGTTCGAACCGGAAGCGAGGAACGGATTAGCATCAACTGTTTGGAACAGGTGTCGCATACCACTGAAAGAAGAATCTTGTGCTGCGTTTGGAACAGCTTTGCAATTGCACTAAGTGTGTCCTTCCCTTCGCAGCAGGAGCAGCTTCAGATGTCCTCGCGCACGCATGGAGTACTTCGGCAGCAGGGCACAACTCCAGGTGTGACTCTCCCTTCGCTGTGTCCACTTCATGACAACTGGAGGTCCATGGCTTTTTGCTGGGTGGAGCTACTCACTGGTACGCCGCTACATTCCGCTGTGCCTGAAGGGGGGCACGCATGGACCATACAAGTTGTGGCAGTACAAAAATACAGAGAATTACACTAGTAAGAGGAAGGTTGAAATCTGCGTGGGCATTGTGATAGCCGCTCTACAACTGCCTTACAGGTACAGCGCTGCAGTTGTGAGCCGAGATACGCTTGAGAGACCAGGCAGGTCCGACTCCCGCTACTAAGGGTGGTTCCTTTTGCTTTCCAATTTTAGACGAGCCCGCCCTCCCAGATGGCCTGAACACGGACGGACAACTGTTTTGTGCGTCACGGCTTCGGCAGAGAAATGAAAATCACTACGTAGAACTGCGATGATATATGTCAGCTAGCTATAGGATGTGTTCAGCATCAGCTCCCTGTGTGAGATGGCGACAAGAAGATTTACTTCTTTGACTCCTACAACACGCCACTTGCGACAGTGATATCAAACGCAGATATTGAGTCCATGGTGGAAGAGCAGCTATGTGTCGGTCGTGCGAGTGCGCTGGATGCCTTGAAGCAGAATCCTGCTTGGGCTCACAAGCCAAACGCTCATCTGGAAACTGCGTTCGAGGAGGGAGTGGAAGAATGGTGGAAGGGGGTCAGAAAAGCTTCTGTGTTCTGGCAGCATAAACCACTGGATGTGCGTCGACAACTGATGCGCATGGACTTGCAACTAGCCAGGAGCTTGGTTGGTGAGACTAAGACGGGCAATGGTCAAAGTTACAAGCCTAGTGGTTTGTTTCTGAGGTCAGAGACTTCTTGCGAGTTCTGGCAGACGTCTATTGCTCTTCCTGATGGCTTTGCCTGATGGGTGCAGTGTGTTTGCGGGATGGCAAAAGTCCAGACTGGCCATGTACAGCCGCAATGAACCAGCAGCGAAAACGAATCGGTTCGAGGGACGTGAGCTGCGTTGCTTCAGCAATGGGAGCGGGTCCAACATGATACAGAGCCTCGAGTGGAATACTTGCATGGTGCAAAGAAGCATAGCAAGCAGTGTCAGTGTCCGTTTTCAGCCTCCCTCCAGAAACCCACAGATGAGTATCAGAAGAGTTTCCCTTCCTTTTGCTGTCGCGCTGTGGTCCTGGCAATTGAAATTAGTGGGAGTCGAGATTTGCCTTGCACTGGGTTCCAGCAAAACCTTTGCAACCCAGTGGCGTTAATTGCCCCTGGACGGCTGCATTCTAAGAGCTTCGTGTAAACTCTACGCAGAACCCTCGAGCGTTGAGACGTCACCGAAAGCCCCTAATCCAAAAATTCGGATCCGCCGTAAGGCCGAAACCGTGTTTCCGTCGCTCAAACATGCGAGCCGACAACCCTAACAACCTGCAAACCTCAAAGAGAGCAGGCAATCCCCACCCCAAGCCGGAAGCCAAGAACCCTAAACTTCTAAACGAAGCACAGTGTAAAAAGCAAACGTGGAGGTAAGCCCAAAACAAGCCGAAGGCTCTAAACAATAAACCCATCCGCATCCAACCGCCCTTCTGCTCCAAAGGCCCGACCGACAGGCTCATCCTAGCTGAGGAATTCACACTCGTAACAGCAGCGAGAAGAGGAGCAAGCGAAAAAATGCAACTGGCCTAACCCCAGACCAGAAGCCCACAGCCAGCCCAGGGCCCTAAGGTGATCCAAGCCCAACCTGGATGCCGAAAACCCTCAACTGCAAGCTCTAAGCCGAAATCCTTGGGGAGTGAAGCACGCCCAGAGATCCGAAGGTGCAACCGTAATGCCTAGACTAAACTGGAAGTCATTTTCCTTGAAGGCATCGCCGGAAGCACCTAACTCCAAGCCGGAAGCTTAAAACCATAAAGAGCCGAAAACCTAGGAGTGAACGACAGACAACGACAACAACAACAACAGCAACAACAACAACGACAACGACGACGACGACGACGACGACGCCAACGCCAATGCCAATGCCAATGCCAATGCCAATGGCAGCAGCAGCAGCAGCAGCAACAACAACAACAACAACAACCACCGTTTACCTGCTACTACTAACGCTACCACCACAACCACCACCACTATTATTGCCACTGATACCAATCGCTAGCATTGCTTGTCTTCGTCTCGGCCGAAAGGCACTCGAACTCGTTTTGAGAAAGGTGCCACAGTCGTCGCAGCCCGCTGCGGATTGCGACACAGTCACAACTCAGAAACCAGATGCGGATTGAGCAAATGTTGCCCCCGATTGCAGACACATCCATTCCGTTCACTTCACATGTGCACATATCCGATAACGACGATGTCTTTGCCAGGTACACAGTGCTGCATGATGAGATGTTGGCTTGCTTGAGCGCGAGAGAAAGGGCCGGCACCACTAATGTTTTTTCAGACTGCCTGGAAGCAGCGGCAAGTTTTGCATCAGCCATGAGCAAACCTGAGCGAAGCGGCGAAGCTTTGAGAGACTTTGAAAAACAGAACCCCTCTTTCTTTATTGCGCGGGTTTTAGCAGCTTTGGGGTTCGCAAGTGAGGCCCAAGTCAGGGGCTCAAATGAGGACTGTGCATTGCTGGTGAAGCAACCTCAGGGCCGCACCGATATTCCGAATCAAGGCACGACACGGCTGTCTCTGTGGCTACTGGCAATAGAGGGGAGGGAACTTTCTTCCGAGAAGCAAAACCTTGGCATTGGTGGCGTCCGTCACACAGCGGGACCTTGAACATGGGTGCAGCGGTTTGCGCAAATCAGATTCGCCGCATCGCGAATGCGGCCAAACCAATCCATCGAAAATCGCAAGGATTCGTGAGGTGCAGAATTTCGATTTTAGACTTAAGCGCTTTGCATGTCTATCCACATGCTGGGACATAGTCAGTGCGAGATACTGCCACATAACACATGTGAACGCACAAAGTTTCATGCCGTTGGATGTTTGCACGGTTTGCAGGAGAAGACCTTTGTTAGTGAGCTCTGCGCCCTGCAATCTGGTGAAGCTTGACCTGGCCAAAAGAACTTGGAAAGGAAGTGGTTTCGCCGTGGCAGTATGGGAAGCGGTAGTGCAGTAATTACTCAAGGCTTCAAGTTGGATTGCCACGATAACTGGGAGATCCAACACCCTGGCTTGATGACCTGAGCCTAGCAGTTCTTTTCATGACTGCCGACGATCCCATTTTAGATTTGTCGCACTGCAAGAAATGCTGTCTCCGAGCTCTTGGCAATTATTGATTGTAGGCTCAGTTCCGGTCCAGAGCGGGCAATGTGTTCATGTCCATCCGTGTGATCGCCAAGGCCTAAACTCAGCATGCACATTCTGGCTGCAGCTCACAGAAACTCTTGCAGTTGTTCGGGCGACATCAAGCAAAACCTTCAGCAGCAAGTTGACGGAACCGTAGAGCGAGTGCTGTCTGGATGCGCTGGGACGTGAAGGATGAGGTGAGCGTCTCTTCTGCAAAGCGTGCGACAACCTGTATGGGCCGTGAGGTGTGGCTCCAAGACTCCAACGGAAGGCCTTCGTCCAGCGGTGACTCGCAGCTTTCCTCAGTCAGTCTTTTTTGCTTGCACTCTGCTGAAAGCAGACTGCCCCTGCTGCACTTCCCGAGGCCTGGAGCTGAGAGAGGAGATCCAGGAAGTGACAGAAACGGTGCCCGGTTACAAAGAGACTCTCTGTGAACTCCCTGTCCTGTTTTGAGGAGCAGCTGGATGCTTTTCGACAGCTAGTCGTTGAGGCAGGCTGCAGTGTGTTGCAGCTAGCGCAGTTCCGGTAAAGGAGCGCTTCCACGTCCCCTGACCTCGCCTGAACCCCGACCTGCAGCACCGGCAGTGCTCAGAAGCGCGAGGGCTACCTTTGGCGGCATACAAAGTCTCAGCAATGGAGGACTGTACGAGAAGCCCGTCCAAGGGTTTCGCCTGTTCGGCCAGACCTTCCGTCACACTATTCTCGTATGTTCTTCGCTCAACTTCGATCCGGGCTCCTCAGCCGTGCCTTTCAACATCTCGCAAGGAGGAGCTGTGAAATCATGAACTCAGGGAAGTCTTCGTGCCTCAGCCACGTCTAGTCAGTCTAGCCCGTAAGACGGAGGCATGATCGGAAAAGCTGATCTTTGAGGGCTTGCTGAGTCCGGACCATCAAAGATCCAAGGCCAAAACGATTTTCAAATCCCAATCCCTTGGGGAGCGCAGTCGGGGAAGTCCTTGCTTCTAAAGGCAATTGGGTAGTACACGTTGAAGCAGTTGACATTACAAGGCCACTGATCGATAAGCTTGGGCTGACTGTCAATGAACACCCGGCCCTTGCCAGGAAGGCCATGCAAGGGCTGGCAGCATGTGCACCTCGGCTCAGGCTTGTACTGAACAGACGCCGGCCTGTGCAGAGATGAGCACACACGAAATCCGCTGAAATCCTTTGGTGGGAAGAGCAGTAATGCATGGCCAAAGTAATCAAAAGAAACGACGCCCGATGGCCGCGAGAGCGATCTTCGGCCAAAGTCCACAGTTGAGGTCTTCCGAAATTCTCGAGCTGGTCAATCATAGAGCGCTTGGCAGGAGCGGAGCTAAGCACCAGCCAGACGATCCAACAAAAGCCAGCCACAGACACCGCGACTTCTCCACACCCTGAATACATCATCACGCATTGTGCAGGAGTCCTCATTGAACCAACACACCTGAGCTGCTTGTCTGTGAACGTCACTACCTACTCACTCGCAGACTCCTCAACATAGCAGGACATCGGCGTGCGATTACAGGATGCCCTGTCGTGGACATCTCAATTGCAGGGACGTAGGCATTGTAGACGGTTCATGCGCCAGGCAGGCTAAGCTGCTGAACTCTTGCTTTACTGTCGTGTTCCAGTTCTATCGTCCAGCTTCGAGTTCACCTACTGCCGGCTGAGGATGCCGTCAGCTCCACCATGGCAGGCCAAACCAAACAAGCCAAGGACAGCATCTGCAAATGTATCCAGCTTCTATCTTTCTGCCAAGAAACATGGTGAATGGTAGTAGTGTTGCTGGTTGGGAGTGCACCGAATTCTCGACCCACATCTTGAAAACTGACGGACTCAGATCACCAAGCACAAGATCCCGTACTTTGCTTGCCATGGCCCTGCCAACGCGATTCCCACATCATGCTACAGACATCGCATGGCTGGTTCTTCGCTGCATAGCTGAGCGAGGAAGTCCGAGATCTTGGCTCGCCCTCCTGAGCTGACAAGTCCGGAGAGTTGCCTCGGAGATGAGGAGACCACTTTGCATATCTGGCAAGCAGATAGGGATGAGGCCAAGAGGCTAAGATCCTGTGTGCGATGTTTTGCAGGGCCTTGTTGCTGCATGTTTCTCGATGGAGACGGTATGTGCGGAATGGAGAGGCCTCTCTGTCTAACCGCGGAACAACGGTGGATGGAAAGCATATTCCCCCACATTTTAATAGCTTGTGACATCATGTGAGGGTGATGGATCATTGCGGTGTTTACGACACTCGTCATTCAGCCTGCGGCGTTTCCCAGCTCAAAGACACTCATGTTAAACGTGAATACTTGGATAGTTTCCAGGATAGTTCTCTACTAGCAGAGGAGCCCTGTCATGCCATCGTTGCGCGCGTGGTGTTGCTATGAGGACATGGCAGAGATCACGAAGAAGGGCTTCAGGCCAGCGGAAAACGCAGAAGACGGTGTAGATGATTGTGCTAGCTCCATCGCTTCAGGAAGAATATTGAGTCGACTGCAGCTGCAGCGATGGCGAGGTCCCCAGTATGCTGTCACGCACAAGTCCTGCGCTGCTCGAACGCCAAGGAGTCCATGATCCAAAGCCGGAGCCGTGGCGAGTATTCCTTGGTATCCGGCGAGTCCATCGAGGCATTGCTCCAACGAGCCATCATGCGTACATCTTGGATTAAATGCGCTTCACGCTCGCTATGAATGTGTGTGAAGCCAGAGCATGGCAGAGCCTTGCAGGATGCTCTGATGGCAGACAGCGCAGGCCCTGACTCGGGGATGTAAAGCTTCAATACGGCAGGCTCATGTCGGCTGCCAAAAATTCGAGCATAGAAAGGCACATGTCGCACGCTTGTTTCCAGGTTCCAACTCAGGCTTCCACTTCTAAGTTTGGCTCCAGTTCTAAGAGCACGAGGTAGTCGCATTAGATGGGATATCGGGAAGGATTTGTTGAGCGCAACTGTTCGGAGTTTCTGGAAGAATATTGCGCCCATAGGCACAGGCCCATGAAATCCTACCGCCCGTGTGTCAGCTGCCCGCGATAGGTCATCTGCAGATGAGGCCAGGCCAGATGACGAATCTCAGACGCCGGCAATCAGACAGAAGACAATCGACGTTCGGAAAGAAGTGTTAGGTGTCATGATGCATTAAGTACAGAAGGGGAAGCAGGGAAGTCAAGGCTGTACCAGTTCATGTGCATGATTGCTAGGGGCTGCTTTGCTTTATTCCGCAACCTGCCTCCCCTCGCAGTGCTTGGTGCACTTCCCTGTGCTGGACCTTGTGGCATATAAGCTTCTGGATACCGTGTGTTTGTTTTCGTTTTGTGTGTTGCTTGCTACCCCACAAAGGCAACGGTAACGGACCTTTGAGGAGTCTTTCTTGCTCTACATTCAACAAGGATTTCTTGGGCATCTAACACGCCGGTGTGATGTGTAACTAACAAAGCTTGCATGGCAACATGCTTGTCTGGTGCATCTGCTGGAGTCGGGCAGCGCTGTTTGGCAGTTTGCAGGCATCAGCTTGTGCCGGATTCCGACAGAAAGTGGCTCGAGGAGACATGCTTGAGTTGGCGCGAGGTTCCTGCAAAGTAGACTCTTTGCGAGCAGTTGTTGACTGTGTTTGTTCGATGTTGGTGAAAAGCTTCAGTCGTTCCGGTTGAGTCACCTGGTGAACAAGCCGATGGTGTTTCCTGTGAGAAGGACAGCGAAGTACCATCCTCCTCAAGCTGAGCCCTTATCCGGACCAGCTCGCCCTTGGAGATTTGGAGACCCTGTCCTTGGAAAGGACCTGCATTGGGTTAAAGTGCTGAGGCCGGCAGCTTTGCTGCGCCAGGGGGACATCGGTGCCACACTGAGGGAAACGGGCGGGGAAACCTTCGGTGAGAGCTAACAGAAAGGGCACGACTCTCTGTTGCTTTCTGGGAATGGATGCGCCGTCATTCGGCCACAGAGCTCTGTGAGTAGATTAGGGGACGCCATGCACAACCTTCCGAGCATCTGCCTGTGGATTACGTTTGCTAAGAAAACAGTCCGCACTTCTTCTTCAAGCACGCGGAAACCGATCACTCAGAAACGAACAACAATCCATGCAAGATATTTCACCAATCTTTGGGTACGATGAAAACCATAGCCTGCGGCGAGTTGACCAAGCCAGAACGAGCTAGTCGCGTGTTTCAAGATGCCAGTGCGGAAATGGCACGGAAAAGTATATACTGTGAGCGAAGGCACACACAGAAACTGTGTCTCTCGCGATAAGGAGAGGTTTGCCGTCGGCCCACATGTGAATCCTTTGAAGACTCTGATGTGTAGGAAATTTATATCGTCTGATTGGCAAGCATGGCCGATCATACTACCAATACTATGACGACCAGAGCGAGTTTCCACAAGCCAAAACTATCAAACGCCCAGAGCTCTTTACCTTGAACCCGGTGCCAAAGTTCACCGTACATCACCACGTCACCTTGTGAGGTCTTGCCAGAGACGCTAACATCAAGGCTCTGACCTCGGAGCCGTTGAGTCACAAAGATCGTGCAGAGAAAAGGTGTCTCGCCACCTGCATTCCGAGACTGCCACACAAGTTACGGCGGCAGCAATCTTCTCAAATCCTCTACTCTACTCGCGTCACAAGTCTAAGAGTCTAATGTCTGGCCTGACTTAACAGACACTGCATGCCACTTTTGACAAGAGCATCGCGCAAGCACATAGAGCGAGATGGAAGACTTCTCTACGCAGATTTCTTGTAATTTCACCTGAGGATGGGAGGTATTGTGGAGTCAGACGAATTCGGCTATGCCGGCCTCCTGGACTCTGTTTTGAACAGCAATGCAGTTCCTTGTCGCCGACCCCGGCCCCATCGCTGGAACACGCTGGAACCATCATATTCTGTCGGACTGATGCGCATCACGTTAGTGCAAGAAGCCGGACATAGTATTGTGCCGAGGCCATCACCGCACTTGTCATGGTGAACGCGATCCTTATTGGCTTCGAGACTGACTACACGGCCTGCTGGACAAGCTAGTTAACCCAGAATAGACGACGGAGAAGGAGAAAGCAAATTTGCGAAGCGACCGAGCGATGTCAAGCGTGAGTGTAAGGTCTTGTAATACGTTGGAGGCATTGATCGGGAGAAGATAAATCCGCATTCCAGGATCTTGCTGATTTGCCTCGTAGGTTTCCATGGAAAGCGTTCCTGAAGAAAGACTTACAGTTTCTATGCCTTTTGGGGTTGTGTTCAACTGCCTGGAAACAATTGCGTTAGCTCCTGCGAGTAGGTGCTGGTTCCCGATGCATTTCTCTCGCGCCCGCGCGGGGTTGAGCAGCAGCCGCTGTCCGATTAATTTGTGCCCGCAGTTTTGCTGTGGGCCTTTCCAAGCCCCTCCAAATTCGTAAGCCGACCCGAGCTTGGGTTGTTCGGTCATTTTGGGCTGTGTCAGGCCCTCCAAATTTTGGAATTTGTGGCCATTTTGGGCCAGCCGATCTTGGGATTGTTTGCCATGCTGGGCCCTTCCACACCCCCCCTTGTTTTGTAAAAGCTCATATTTGGTCCATTCCAGGGAGTTTTGGCCATTTCTGAGAGAACGGGACTCCACAGCCTGGGGGTGCATGCAAGCAGGCAGTAGCGTTCAACGCATTTCAACGCCACAGTGCAGGCTCGGCATGGAGGCGATCACAAGATGCCTGGCTCGAAGATATTGGGACGGGTCTTCTGCACCTCGGACCTGATGGATAACCAGTTTGGGCGTTCTGGAAGCTCGCGAGGTTTCGAGTTGCTGCCATGCGTTTGTTGCAAAGCCTCTGCAGTTGTTTAGTCTTCTGTAACATGGACAAGGGGATGCTCATGTTCACATGATTTGACATGCAAGGGCACGACGCGAGTGCTTGACGGTTCGGTGAAGCGGCTGAACATCCTTGTCACCAAGGCTATATCTTCACAGCAGAAGTTGCCATGAGGCATTGCCTTAGCTTCCTGTTGGTGAATGTGCTTCATGTGTTGAGACGGCGTCCAGGTCCAGCTCATCTGAGTTATCGTGACTCTAATGCCACATTTGGCATGGCTGTGGGTCAACTGCGAACCTACCAAACCAGGCATCAATCTCTTAGACGAACGGCGGCAGACGGCAAGGGTGGCACATGGATGCCTCGGCGGCGAATGAAAGTTTGTAACGTGAAATGCTAAAAAAAAAGGCAAGTGTTCCTTTCAAACTGAGGGCTCGGGCTCGGATGACCGCCGGCTAGAGTGTTCAACTGGGCGAGCATGAGCATAGTCAGGCAAGCGACACGACAACTAGGAAGATATTGAAGACAGTAGGTTCTTGAACCAAGACGAACCTCATCCGGCGTGCTGCATTTGTACAATGCGGCTGTTCAGGATTTCGCCACTCATGCTATTCCAAGGTTCATCATTGTGCAACGCTTGATACCACAGCTTTTCTGGGCACCCTTAGAGACATGTTGTGCCGTGAAGGGTCTTGGTCCTGGGCGTCCGGAACTTTTTCATGGGCAGTGGCTGGAGGCAGCTAACTACAGCCACCCGATGCCACAGATCTGTAGGCTAAGAGCCAGACAGGAAACTGTCCCAAATCATTGCAGCGAGGGTTTTTAGAGTGCAGCAACGCAAGATATCCCTTTGTTTGCACTTTAGCTGTACACTGTGGGAGCTCCTGCGATGATGCCATCGTCATACTGGTCAACATTCTCAACATGCTGTAGCTGAAACTGACTGAGGCTCCTCCATCGCCACCGATTTTACTGAAAGCACATTCCAGGTAATGCATCGCTTGATTCGTATTACAGCAGCATTTTTGCTAGCAGATCTGCTGTTTGCGTCGTTCAGTTCCATTAGCAAGATCTTGTCCTGAACAGCTTGCAGGTGGAATCTCTTCGACTTTCTCGTGGTTGGCTTGCAATGGGCAGAGGAGGTGCTTGCCATGCGGGACGCCACTGATGTCAACTGTTTGTTGCATTGCTGGGCCGTCTTGCACGCCCAGAGAACTCGTTTGCGGAACGTTTGGAGGTTGTTGATTGGATTTCTGTTGGCACTGGCCGTGGCCACGACCGGCGCTCAGTCAGATTCTGCTTCTCTTTCTGCTGTTCAGGCCCTTGCCTGAAGGCGGTAGTGCCACCAGCACTCCTGTTGACAGCGAGTAAAAATCAGCAGTAATTGTTTTCTAGCAGCTGCCGGCACTCTGCTGGCTGAGATGCTATGATTGCATCAGTGTCGCACAACACTATTCGGTGTCGTCAACAAGCGATGAGATCAGATGAGTCAGACCCGGAGCTCAAAGGGTGCAAGGCCGGCATGCAAGATGGAACCTTCCCTCTGCACCCAAATTGGTGGCGATGATGATGCAGGCCAGCTTGCATAGGGTGCGCCGCCGAGTATCCGCGGAGTCATGTCGCCGGTAGCGACATGTCTTCCCTTTCCGTTTGAGTTTGGATTCGCTGATTTGACGCATCAGCACTGCTCACGAAACTGGGAGCCCTGCATGTTGACAAGGCCTGCGTCCAAGGTTGGTGATGCTTGGTAGGAAGGGGCGATTCGATCGTTCCTGATCCGTCTCCTGGCCGGGAGCAACGGAAGAGTTAACCAAATACAATTAATGGTGTTCGATGTGCTCCGGATGAGCAGGAAGTCCCACCGTGTGAAATGTCGGACATGTTTTTTCCAAGCCGCGCCATTGACAGCGTCAGGTACTGAACCTGGGCTTCTTGCGGATTCTCAGGACTTTGCGCTTGGGCCTTGCTTTCTGCCGGAATGGCTCAAATGACATGAGTAGGAGTCAAGTTTCCGACTTTGAACTGTGCTGAAGATAGAATTAGAATTGGGCGTGAGGTGTGGTTCGCATCATGCGCCTTGCGCGCATCCTACACTTGGTTGTGGAGCTCCGTGACCCAGCAGCAGCCCCGAGGTAGACGTCTTTCTTGACTTCCAAAGTTCTTCGACTTGCTCCCATTCGATCTTCTTGTAGTGGGGTAGGTCTAACCCACCCGCAGCTGCCACTAGGGTCCTTTTCACTCTCTGGAATGTTTGAAGGTATGTAGATGTTTGCTTAACACCTCAAGCGAGAAATCTTGGCTGGAATCCCAGCGCTTTTCGGCAAGGTACCATGGTCTCCTCCATCGTGGCATCGTTGAAACCGCTCTTTTGGGCCACACTGCTTTTCTCCATGCTCATCTACGCCGTCGCCGTCGCGATGACACAGATGGCGAATGCCTCGGCTGTTGGAGCTTCTTGGGATTCAGCCACAATGCCCCACAGTCTCCAGCGCGAGAGGGTTCTGAGAGTGCTACAAAGACTGGCGTAGCGGTGATTGCTCAGAACTGCATAATAAGCCTTCTCGTACGCACGATGCAAATGTTAGGCTTTGAATCGAGGTTAGCTCTGCTCACAGCCCATTCAGCAAGCCAGGTTGGAGCTAGTCCCGGCCCTTGTTGTTTGATGGGGTGTGGTCATGGCAGCTGTCTCATGGTGGGACGACTGCTTGGAAGGTTTTTTTTTTAAAGTCTGTCGCAGAAGCGTCAGGGATCCGTTTGGATGGCCGTGCCATGCAGCCACTTACTCCAGACATCCCCAGCCTTTTGTTTTGCCGCTGCCCAATGGGACTCCTTGGTTCAGACCCTGTGGGTACCTCGCTCGAAGGGCCTCCACAGGCGTCTGGTACGCTGCGAGTCTCCACAGGCCCTTATTGCGCGCGTGCATGCACCGTGCGTGTTCCTCAAAAATGACGTCGTGGAAGTTGGCGACTGTAAGCAAGAGGGAGAGAGAGATATAAAAAAAAATGAAAAGGAAAGCGGACCTGACAAGTCGCTCAAGTCCCCCATGGGATTTAGGTGCATGCACCCTTTTAGTCATCCTTGTATGACTCAGCGAGAAAGCCGTGCCCCAGACTTTGTTTGCCTCTACAGATGCGTAGACTGTGCTCCGTCTTGGTCAGCCAGGCAAATGAGTTCCGGGCAGAGAATCGCGGCGTGGATACCGAGTTGAACAGGCACGACAGTCGGGATTCCGTGCCGGCAGTTGGTTTGCCAGCCCCCCCGCCAGGTATTTCAGCAGCCTGGGCACAGCGGCCTTGGCGCTGTGGGAGTGTATTTCCGGTGGGATGGACTGGCAGGAGCCAACAGCGAAACGAAGAGTCTCCCCGAACTTGGGGCAGGAATTAAGGTGACTTAAGCCCTTTTTCCAAAAAGCTGAGACGAGTCCTTCTTGGAGGACCTCGCGCAACCGATGATTGAGAATGTCTCCCCCATCATGGGCCTGTTTTTTTCTGCATATGCTGCTAGGCCTGCAAGACTCCAAGCGCTGTCCATTATTTTTATCACATCTGATCACCGGTGTGGCTTGAGCGATGTTCCGTGTATCTCCATGCCGTGTGTACAGCTCTCTGTGGTTCAGTGCGACCGAGTCAGATCTTGCGCATGTTTCGTGCGCGACTGGGTCAAATCTTGCCTGAGGTTGCCTTTTCTATGCTGGCAATGATGAACGTCATCACAGGCCCGGTTGCCCAATCAGCTTCCTTCAATGCCGTCGCCATCTGACCTGCCAACAAAATATGTGTTCAGGCATTTTTGTGGACAATGCCAAGACCTATGCACAGCAAGATAAGGACAGGAACGAGTCTGCAAGTCCTTTCTCAGTGGCGGCTTGAAGTGTCGACCACCTCGTTCAAAGCATGTAGGAACAGGGACTGTCGGTATGCGGCCATACACTATGTCAATGTAACAGCGAGAATTTGGTACACCTTTAACATCCTGGAGCTACTGTGGTGCCCGCCTGGCCTCTCCGGATGATTGCGTTTTCAGACCATGCGTTCGATGTCAAATCTACCGGGCTCAGCACAGCTACAGTAACCACTCCCCGGAGCTACCGCTCAATAGCTAGCAGCGAGCGCGGAGTCTCAGAGGACACCTTTGTCGTGCGACACGTGCTCAATCTCTTCAAGCAGAGCAATTTGGGCGAGTCCACTGCAATTGATTGGATTGTCGGCACCCAAGCGAGCATCCTCTCCAGGTTTGCTTGAGAGATGAGTCGCAGCCGTGAAGCTGTGTTGCTTCTTAGTTCCCCCTCCGTTTCAAAACTTCCAGTGTTCCTTGTTGGGTGGGTGGCTGGCACCGGGTGTAAGTCGTTAAGAGTACAGCTTTCCAGCTTGCCAGGTTATTTCATTAAATTCGATTGCTTGGAGGGAGATCGGCAAAGTTGACAAACACTCCAGTGTCACCAGTCTGCTGCAGCCCCACTGAACTTGGCAGGACTTCCAGGCGAAATTGGATACGCGCGAGCTACAGGACCGCGCAAGCACGATTTGACTCAACAGCTTCCAGGCTGCCTGTGATGTTATCGAGCACTGCAACACGGTGCAAGTGAGAGCATAATGTGTGTTTAACATTTCTCGGTGTACGGGTGGGGGCAAGCAGGAGCAGCACGTGATTTTGCATGTTTATGCCAGGAAGTTCTTGCCTGAGCTCCGCGTCCACCGTTGAATGCTAACGAAGCCGTCGTGATGCAGAGTATTGGCCTCACCATAGAACTCTAGCTCTGGTGTGAAAGTGTGGAGCTGTTGTAGTTTTGCAATGTTGTGTTGCCTAGTGGTACTTCAGCACAGAATACAGAATACATATGTGTGCTTCATGGGCAGCTTTTAAGGATATTACATGATGACTGTTTTCTCATGGTTGCAAGGTTGAGTATGCCAGCATGCCGTCGTCTTCCATGCCTTCCTTTGAGCATCCCTTCAACTCTTGCAGAAATTAGGGCATGGGTTGGAGGCATGCACTGGACCAGGAGCTTTTTGCTGCAGTGGAGGTCGACGTGTGGGCCACCTGGACTTTGGCGGATGTTGGCTCACGTGCTGTGCAGAAGAGTCAGTTGATAAGTGTTAGCGTGCTCTGAAGCATGCTTCCTGATTTCGAGGGCAGATGCGAGGAGTCTATTCAAGTGGGGCACTTGGCGAGCCTGCACACTGTCACTGGCCAGTCGTTAGCATATGGTGGAGCGGTATGTTCTACTTGAACTTGCCCAGGGAAATTTGAGCTTGCACCTGCCTGCGCCCCGAGGAAGAGGTAACAAGATTACTTCGCGCATGCATGCATGCATGAAGAGGGGGGCCCTCCAATCCGGAGCCAGACGTCCGACCGTAATCTGAGTTGCGTGCCGACCCAGTCAGCCCGGATGACGAGCACGATTTTGAGATGGAGTGGTTGCATCTGCATGCATCAGCTACATCACCGATTTCGACCCGTGACAGTACATGCCCTGTAGCATATGAGCTTACATTCATGGCATTCCAGCAAAGCTGGCCGGGGGCCATGGCCAAAGAAGGCCCAGACCTGCCCGCACAGGAGACATGACCAAAGAAAGGAGAGCTTCACTGGGACGATGGAAGGTGATTTCTGTTGGACTGTTGGAGTAGGAGATGGTGATACGGACGATGCTCCTGCAGGTGCTCGGGCCTTGCCTGCCTTGTCGCATCGGCGGTGGGAATGGCTGTGAGTGGATGTCGGAATCTTATGGCTTAGATTGGGTTTTGGTCGTACGACGCGAGCATGCGAATGCAGCGCGGCTTAGCGCGACACGCACTTTGGACATGTTGTGCACGCAGAAGTTTGCTGGGGATGATTACCTGCGGGCGGCGGGGACTACTTGATGAACTTCAGCCCCAAGGAAAGGCACCCGTGTGGGTGTGGAGGAGAAAACAGTCAGAGGATTACGACGGAATCGACGGAGAGACGAGCACTGAAGCTTGTACGGAGACTGTGAACGGATGTCGAGTTTGTTCAGATTTGGCATGGAGGAGTTTTGAGGTTGAGGAGGCTTTTGCATGAACATTCGCGGATTCTGCCAGACTGGTTGTCTCGCACATGTTCCTACATTGCTTTGCATCAATGAATTCCACTGCGATTCGGCTTGTTGGCAGGCTTATTGATACAGATAACAGCGGCAGCGTTACGCCAGAGGAGTGTGCTCCTAAGTTGCCAGGTCTTTGATCCGTGATGATCCGTGTATCGCGTGCTGTCCAAGCATGATCGGAGGAGGATTTGACACATGAGAACCCGCGGTTTTTGCGAAACGAGGCTCAGGCTCAGGAAGACTCGAAGGCGTCCCAACAGAAATAACAGAAACGAAGGAAGCTCCTTTCCTAGGATTGCTTTTTTCGAGTTCTGGAGGCTGATGAGGGGCTGGCTGCGTCTCCAGGGCCCCGCGAAGGTGCGGGATTTTTCGAATGCTTATATATGTTTCTGAACGGCAGGGTGCCATCAAAGATGCCCTAGACGTTCAAAGTGCCAGTGGGCCAACTAGGCCATCC